CACGGTGCCATACCTTTCCCACCTGTTAGCACAAGCATTTGGCAGAGGTCTTACTAGCTATGTTGGGCATGTGCCATGGCTGCTTTCAGTGTACAAGCCCTTGTCATTTGTAGGAGAAAGACAGATTTCCATACCTTGTCACAGGGGTGAGCAACCTCATGTTATCCCTTAAGGAGGCACGATAGCTGGCAGCTTCTACAATAGCACTGGCAAGAGGCATTTCCCTCTGCTCTTGAACCTGCTCTGCTTCTCACTTCTATGCTTCACAACCACATAAGAGGACCTGGTCCCAATATCCTGCCCAGACCTCAGGCAGCCCCTCCAGGAGTGCAGCTGCTGGGACCAGCGGGGTCCTGCTGTGTGTAGTGGGGTCACACAGTGAGGTGAGTTTCTTCTGTTGGTGGAAAAAGGTCACATTTGGGCATGCCAGTCCCGCATATCTGTAAGCCAATTCTAATCCTGAGTTCATGCTGAGAATGACATCACAGTCCATCACTAAGCTGAGTGTGATTGGTTAAACAGAAGGTTCATTATTTTGGCCTTAGATAAAATCTCCTGATCTTACCGAAGTAATGTATTCATCTCTGTCAGGTACTTCACCCCACCACGTGCTTGACAGGAATTCCTGTGTTTGGGTCTCTCAGTGCTTCTCAAGGCTTTTGAGTGAAAAAGTCTCAGAGAAGGCTGTGTAAATCTGACAACATTCATGTTTTTTCTTCCAGTAAGCCGAGGTTTTTATGAGCTTTAGTTCAATTTCCCACTCACAAGACGCAGTTAGTATTTTATAATGCTGACACAAATTGACTCTATGCAACAGTTCAGGCAGTCTGCAAATGGATTGGAAAAGCTCCCTCTCTACACAGTCACAACCTAGACTATGCTGTTGCTAAAAGAGCCGTTTCTTTCCCTGGGTGAGCAAAAAAAAAAGCCTTTCCTAGCACATGGCACTGCTGAGTACTGTGCATCTCCCAGAAGAACGTGTTTGTCACAGAGAGCTGGTTCTAGCATGATTACTTCTGCCAGTGTCACACACCTAGACCTGGTGACACAAGTTGTACTCACAGAGGATGTCTTTCTGCAGTGCTTGATGTCCCACTAGGACCACACAAAAGCTGACACTGGAAACTCTCGTCATAGAGGTAGATGCTTGCTTTGATTTCAGCCTGGGGCTGCACATCCTGCTGAAGGATCACAGAGACAGAGGGAGCTCTATAGAGGAATGAAGCCAGCCCTAGGTGGGAAGAGCAGTCACACTGTCCTGCCCTCCACCAGCACCCTCTGTGGATAAGCACCAACTCTAGGATGTTGAACCTACAGAGCCAGACCTGAATAGCAGAGAGCTTCCGGACAGCTCATTTTCCTAACTCACATATAGGTGCTAGGAGCTTTGGGAACAACCTCCCTTCATAAATCCTATCACAAAACAAGTCAGAGCATCCAAAGGGCAATGAGAAACAACGCGCTTGTATACCAGTGTCTACAGAACCAGGCACAGAAGCCCTTCCAAGCACGAGGAGCTTCTTGCAATGTTTTTACTTAGCGTGTGCAAATGAAGAGACCCACAGTGGCTGGTCACAACAGTGTTAAAACTAAGAATAAAGCACACATGGTGTGTTTTTCCATTCTGTAAAAGTGCTCTGCTGGAGTTTATTCCCATTTGATAAGAAACCAAGAAAATGTTGCACCACAGAGCTTCACTGCCTTGATTAATCAACAAAAAATACTACAAAGGCAAAACTAGGAGCAACCTTCTTTGCATACTGAAATAATTAGACCGTGTAGCAAAAGAGAAAATGAGGAAAGTGCCTTCCTGGAAAATATTATGCTTCATAATATTTAGAACCCCATAAAAAAAACAAAAACAAAAACCAATGTTTTTGTAAAAGGACTAATTATGCTGTCTTCTTTTGCAGGCAAAATTGTTAGGAAACCTTACAGAACAGCCTAATGCCTCTAAGAAAAACAAAGACATTATGGGGTTAGTTGTATCATGTAATTATCTAGGCCTCTTTTAGAAATGAAACATGCACTCTTTAACACAGGACTCTCCAATGGGTCTTGTTTTGGTCCTCCTATCCAAAAGATACCATTTCTGTGACCCAGTTCATACACACAAAATCACACCCAGTCCCTAATAAAACCAGCAAATCTGTCCTTGTCCTACAAACCATACTTGTGTATGAGTTGAAATGGCAGCCTTGCTGATACGAACCCAGGTTAGAGAAAGGGATCGAGGGATGTTTTATTGAGGGCTGTACCACAACAACAAAACAACCATAAAAAGGCTCTCATTTTGTACTCCTAACACACAGCCCAGGCCATAAACTGAAAGAGGCCATTAGGAAAATGAGGCCATCATTAAAAGCAGAGCTGGTAAACATGTAAATGTGTTCAGCACGCAGAGCACATCACTGGAGGTTTCAGTGCAATCCTCATTTCTTTACCTAGTGGCAGAAGCAAGGACCTGGTGTGGTGTGATAGAAAGAGGGCCATATCCTTTGTGGTGTACCACATTCAATTAATATGTCAGGCTTTCTATGTCTATCATTGCTCACAGGGGCTGGAACAATTGTTCTGCTTCCCCATTCCCTTTCTTTTTTCCCAATTTTCACATAGTACCACGCTAAAAAAAAAGTAATGGATTTCCTTCTCAGAGAACTGCACGGGCTGATAAAGTGAAATCCATGGCAGAATGCAAGTCACTTTTCCCTTTACCTCATAATTTCGGCTAGAGGCAAAAGTGTAATAAATTTTGGCGGGAAAAAAAGAAGAGATGGTTTGGGACATTTCTAATGGCCAGTTTGTGTAAACATTGTTGAGAAATATGGCTGAGAACAGTCTGCCCTGGGGTTGATTATTTTTCTTGCTCCGAGACCCGAGCATTGCTCTTGTTGTCCCCAGAATTTTGAAATTGTCTGAAGTTCATTTGAGCAAAGACAGGAACAAAAAAGGAACGTTGCAGCTTTCCATGTTAAAACGCAATATTCTTTCACAATGATGAGGCATTTGCTTTATAACCCAACCAAAGCACTCTTGCCCAAGCTCTTCCTGCACTGAACAGCTGCAGTTTCACCTCGCTTGTGCTGGATACCTACCAGGATCTGTACTTAAAGTATCTAATAAATGGGGACCTTGTCCATGAAGGAGTACAGATTACTGCAGTGTTAACAATAAGATTGCAAGCGGTACTGAGAAAGATAATAATGCCTATAGTGAAGCACTAAGGTAATCCACTGGCTGGATTAACCAGCCTTAGCAAACCTAGGCGAGAAAGAATCAGCCCTTGGTCCCCATGCAGTCACTCCCCTGCACTTTAAGGGGCTCCTGCCTGCAGGATGGCCTCAACTGTCCCCAGCCCATCCCACGGGCTGGCTGTATTCTGGCACACTGCAAGTGCTGCCCCATCAGGCTCGTTTTTTTTTATTTTATCAGAAGGACAGAATTTCCTCAAGAAGTCTTCCTGTACTGCAGATTAAGCTGCAAACAGTTGAGTGACTTAAAAAACAACGACAACAAAAAGCTGACAAAATGCAGGAAGATCCTTCTTGCTACTCTAACAGTATTGCTTCCTTTGCTTGGAAGCAGAGCTGGCAAAACATTAGCACGGTGAGTGCTGGGAGCAGCCAGCTGCCTCCTGCCAAGCCTCCGGCATCTCCCCTCGCAGGCTGGGTGATGCTGTGAGCCAGGATGCTGTGAGCCTGCCTGACTCGCACAGCTCACTGCGTTCAGCTCCCCGCTGGCACCAGGAAAAAAAGACGCAGAAAAACTTTCATCACGGGAGGGGGACAAAAAGAAGAAAAGAAAGCAAAGAGAGATGGTGGGTGCTTTGGCACCCTGCCCTCATCCCATGGCGGTTGGTGGGAGCAGCTCAGGGTTCACTGAGCTGCTGTGACACAGCAGTAGGGGCGAGCCTTCCGCATTCCCAACTTGCATATTAATAGGAATAACGCGTGACTCATGCTGACAGCAGCGGCAAGGCCGGGAAGCTGTAGTCTGCAGTTATAAAGAGCTACACAGCGCTGCTGTATCGTGGCATGCTGGCCAAGTCTGATGAGCCGTCTGCACGCTGTCATCCGGCAGGCACGGCACTGCAGAAGGGGCTCGGATACTCAGAGGGTGTGCATGGAAGGGGAAAAGTTCAGCTGCATCATGCGCTATTTGGGAAGGCAGTTACAAGAAAGTGAACAAGTTTGTCGTGCCAGTCCCAGGCTCACTCGAATGAATAACCCATGACTGAGCAGCAGACCTCTGAATATGCTCGGTCACCGTGAAACAAGTCAGATTGCCGGGGTCTGCACTCCATTCCCCTCCCCAGCCCTTACAAGACTACTTCATTTCTCTAGGATTGGTTGCAGCCAATAAATCACAGTCATCAGAGACCTGCGTGGCATCAACAGAAACCCTGAATTTACCCACATCGCTTCCCCGGAGCCATGTGAGTTGCAGCCAACTTTACGCAGGTTTCTGAGCTTTCCCGGCTTCTCCCCAGCGAGTGTGCCTTCACCCAGGCTGATAGCACAGTGTAAGTGAGCCAGCATCACGCTCTGCTGGCTGCCGGCACGAGCCTGCTGCTCGCTCGTGGGGGTGCAGCCTGTAATGGGTGTCGTATGCAGCTGGCTGTCATTTTTCACGGCAGTGGCTCAAAAAGTCATAATTCTGCCAAAAGGAATCAAAAGGGGCTTGTGCTACTGCTATTGTATCTGCTTTAATTCACGTGAGCTCCTCAAACAGACTTTGATTTATGAAGAGAAAATTCACAAGCATGCAATGCCTGTTTGAACAGCTTAAATGAGCCCATGTCATAATCTCCTTAATGGATGATAAGTAATAAGGTGGTATTCCTACAAGCTCATATACTAGCTTGAACAAGAACGCCTTGAGGAAAATTGAAGTAGGAAAAAGAATGTACTACAAGAAAGTCCTCAAATTCTCTCCAGACATGCATTTGCTTATGTATGGGATAGTGAAAAGAATATTTAGAAAGTATGAATGGCACTTACCTCTCAAGAAGTGCTGGTAAGAAGGAAGTGAATCAAATACGCTGTTTGAAGCCATTGTTTCCTCTTTAAAACTCACTTTCTCTTTACAGTGAAGGAATATATGATTTCTTCTACCTTGGGAAGTGAAAAAGTGAAAAGAACGGTCATTGTTACCACCCTCTGCCCAGCCATCACTCTGCTGTATCCCAGTGCCTCTTGAGTAACCCAAAGCAAATAATAAGGTTCTTTTGCTAAAAGAACTCTGAAATTGTTTCTTAAAAAGAAAAAAAAAATAGCGGATCGGTTGTGGTTGATGATGCTTACCACTCTACGAAACTGTGGTTTGCAGTCAAAGCGATTTGCCCTGCCTGCTGACCAATATCCCGGACCCGCTCTTGTGTGACTGCCTCTGTACCCAACTTGTGGTTCTGTGGTTGTTTATGAGGCCCAAAGAAGTGTTTCACACAACCAAAATTACAAATTTAACTGTTCCCCTTTCCATAACCTGCCTCCATTGGTCCCTCTGAGTCACGTGACCTGAGTGATGTCAACTTTCTTTCTTTCTTTTTTTTTAACTTTCTGAAGTCATGCCCTACCCACTCCACCTGCCCTCCCCGGGGCTGAGCGAGGCAGCCATGGAGGTTGCTGAGGGAGGGAAAAGAGAAATGACTCACCGGCCCGTGTGCAGCAGGCGGGCGTGCTGAGCTGGTGCAACGCTGCTTGTTTTGTTGTTTGTGGTTTTTGGAACTACTGATTATTTTGATAGGGATTTCATTGCTGCTTATTCAATAGTAATTCAAAGCTGGGTATTAGTTGGCTGCTGGGGCAGGATGCGTAAGTCCTCCTGTATAATGTTAGGAATCAGCTGTAGGGAAGACCACTGGCTGGGGAAAGTACACTGCAGAGAGGTGTGAGAGAGAGAGTAGACGGAAAGAGAGAGAAAAAAAGAGAGAGGAAGGACAGAAGGACGGAAGGACAGAGGGACGGAAAGATGGAAGGACGGAAGGAAGGAAGGAGGGAAGGAAAGAAGGAACAAAGGAAGAAAAAGGAAGTAAAGACAGAAAGACAGAAAGAAAGACAGAAAGAAAGACAGAAAGAAAGAAAGACAGAAAGAAAGAAAGACAGAAAGAAAGAAAGAAAGAAAGAAAGAAAGAAAGAAAGAAAGAAAGAAAGAAAGAAAAGAAAGAAAGAAAGAAAGAAAGAAAGAAAGAAAGAAAGAAAGAAAGAAAGAAAGAAAGAAAGAAAGAAAGAAAGAAAGAAAGAAAAAAGAAAGAAAGAAAGAAAGAAAGAAAGAAAGAAAGAAAGAAAGAAAGAAAGAAAGAAAGAAAGAAAGAAAGAAAAGAGAAAGAGAAAGAGAGAGAGAAAGAGAGAAAAGAAAGAAAAAGAAAGAAAGAAAGAAAGAAAGAAAGAAAGAAAGAAAGAAAGAAAGAAAGAAAGAAAGAAAGAAAGAAAGAAAGAAAGAAAGAAAGAAAGAAAGAAAGAAAGAAAGAAAGAAAGAAAGAAAGAGAGAAAGAGAGAAAGAGAGGAAGGAAGGAAGGAAGGAAGGAAGGAAGGAAGGAAGGAAGGAAGGAAGGAAGGAAGGAAGGAAGGAAGGAAGGAAGGAAGGAAGGAAGGAAGGAAGGAAGGAAGGAAGGAAGGAAGGAAGGAAGGAAGGAAGGAAGGAAGGAAGGAAGGATAAAGAGAGGAGATGAGAGGAGAGGAGAGGAGAGGAGAGGAGAGGAGAGGAGAGGAGAGGAGAGGAGAGGAGAGGAGAGGAGAGGAGAGGAGAGGAGAGGAGAGGAGAGGAGAGGAGAGGAGAGGAGAGGAGAGGAGAGGAGAGGAGAGGAGAGGAGAGGAGAGGAGAGGAGAGGAGAGAAAAACAAGCTGTTGAGAAAGATAAAAAATCATCTTTTTGAACCTCTATGACAGTGATTTCTGAGGGAGTGCCTGAAGGACACAAGTATCTGTGAGCTCACAAGACAGCTCTGTAGATTTCCCATAAGTCCAAGTCCAGCAGTCCTTGTTCAGCACAATGCCTACTCTTGTCAGAGACATCCCTACCCAAGAGAAAAGCTGAGCAGAGTGCTCAGGATGTAGCTCAGCAATGCTATGGTGATAGCAAAAATACTGGTAGGTGGAGCACTGCAGTAATGCACAGTGCCTAGTCCATGCAGGTTGCTCCTGGAATGCTGGATGCTGTTGGGACTCTGAGGTTGTGCCCATATTTGGGACCAACGAGCCCTTGGCAAAATTAGGCACTTCATGCATTGCTTCCACTTATTGCAACTTTGGAAGTTGAATTCCTGACTTGCATTTCTAGTGCAAGTGCAGTCTACACCCTGGCTTCCTCTAGAGTGAGTGGGGGAGCTGTGTGTGCACGAGAGACAGAAGACATCAATTTGCTGAAGCTGCAGAAGGAGCAGTTCTGGGCAGCTAGGACAGGAAGACGGGCACTTTGCTTGGATGCTGTGAGCCCAGCTCACACTCCTGCTGTGTCTCAGCTTATGCATTTTGGCTTTTTTTTTTTTTCTGACTATGCTTCCCAGAGTCTCCCAAGATATGGCCAATTTTTGGTCTGCGATAAACCTCACTTTGTGGCAACATAAATAACTCAGAGATCACCAGGCAAAGGCAAAGCCTTCCCCCACCAGGACAGTGAGAGCTAGACCCAGGCCCTGTGCCCATTGGAGATCAGGGCCTGCTGCCTATGAGAACTGGGGGTACACTGCCTGTCAGGCAGTGCCAGCAGAGGGAGCCCCGGCAGGAAGACTCCAGTTTTTAAATCACTTTTTTTTTCCTCTTCTTTTAAAGCTCAAGGGGCAGGAAGGCTGCCAGAGTGGAGGCGGATGCCCAGGCAGGCAGAGCATGTGAAGCAGCCATCCGCTTTGCTGTGGGCAGAGCGCACAGTGCCAGTGAATGTCAGCAATGCTTGTGCTTCACCCGGGTCATCTGCCTAGAAGGCCAGGGCATTGCTATGCTATGTGAGAAGCAACAGTTGGGCTGCTTTTGTCATCTTGTAGCTAAGGCAGATGATGCAAGGGAAAAGCCTGACTGTTTCAACATGCAGCCTGCCACTCTGGTCTCTGCTCTGCCAACAGCCAGCTTCAAATAGCAAGCAGGAATACACTTTATTAGGGTTTGACACCTCAAGTTTTCAAGGAACAGTCTGAGCTATGTGGGTCTGTGCTACACCCAAAGGAGTGGATGGATAGAACTTCTCCTTGCCACTGCTACACATGCCAGAGAAACTGTGAGACCCCTAACATGGCAAGGGTTGCTGGTGATGCTGACTGCACCACAGTGCCATTTTCTGTTGGGTGCTCATCAGCTGTTCCTGCAGCCCTACAATTAATCTATGTGAAAACTTACTGCTATGCATAGCTGGCATTTCTCTGAGGAAAGGAATAAAGTGGATCATTTCACAATTCATGCTCCAAGGAGTGCGTCCAAAGGTTGCCACGTGAGCTGTGCCATCATTAATGCCAGTCTCTCTCTTTTTTTTTTTAAAGCTGTCCTGCAGTTAGTGTAAACTTCTGGAAAACTCATGTCACTGGTACTTAGACATTCTTTGCTTTCTAATGAATAAGATGCAAGATAACAGTGAACCTTCAGGAAATAATATTACTCTCAGGTCTAGAAGCTGACACATCATGTAATAAATTAACAAGCAGCTACTGAATGATGGAGAGATCAAAATGTTGTGCCAGTGGTCCTCTTTAAAAAAAAAAATATAATAATTGTTGTAGATAAGGGATCTTCAGGGATCTTAAGAAATCTGTTTCCCACATTGGTACTGCAGAGTATGGCCCCTTGGCTGGATAATAACCTTGAGAAAGCAGACCTTGACACCAAACATTTATGTACACTAGAATCTCACTCTCAGTCAACAGAAATCATTTGAAATCTTATAAAGTTGCTAACGTTTGGAAAATGACAACAACAACAAGGCAAGCAACCAACCAACCAATAAGCAAAAAGCAAAAAACCACACAACAGAAAAAAAAAACCATGAAGTAGGCTTTTTTGTTGTTGTTTTTTGGGTTTTTTTTTGTAAGAGCAAACACTTGCAGTTTCACTGGTAGGAATGAAAACATTAACTCAGGGGAAGTTCCAAGAGCCTAAATTTATCAGATTCTATAGCCCACCCCAGCAAGGTGTGCCCCAGAGGCCAACCATTCTGCAGGCTGCAGAGTCCCACAATGGAGCTACTGAGAAGTCTAAAACTGAATCATGCAAAGATTATTTCAGCTGCTGCAAATTTTTCAGAGCCCAATGGTTTACCCCAAACTCCAGTGGTAGCCTCTAACAAACCTCCAGCATGTCCAAAAGAGACACAAACCAGGTTAGAAACCATGAGCCTGAACTACATGCTGAGTGGGTGCTGAAAGGCTGAGAATGGCTTGGAACAGGCTCAAGGTAGCATATTGTTTGTCACTGAGCAGCACATTGATGTAGTAAGCTGGCGCTGCCATTATCAGGGAGCTCTACTGTACATTAGCCTCCCAAAACCTTGTGAATAAAGTAACATCTATGCTGGTAATATTTAAATGTGGAAGAGAACAGGGATGCAATTTCAGAGGAGCTGTGTCTGTCTGTGAAATGAGGCTGTCAGTCAACACAGCTGAGGGGAGCCTGGAAACATTTTTAAAAACCCAAGTGTTTTACTCCACCAGTTTATAAAAATGCTTTAGTCTTTCATTTCAAAAGTGACCTAAATTAAATAGCTCAGCTGAAAAAAAAAAAGACTGACCTAAATGAACTGTTTCCTTCTGGCCTTCCTGTTTTGAAGCTATATCAAAAATGCTACATCAGTGCTGCTGCAGAGTGCTCTATTACAGCAATTCTGATATGCAGAACCTCGCCACTATCACTTCACCACTTCTAGTCCTTTTTCTCCCTGGATACAGGAGTTACTTTATTCTTTTTTCCAGTAATTTATTGTCAGTAACAAAGTTTGGAGGGCTTTTTACCAGTCTTTTACTGGTGGTATGAGTTAAATGCATGTGGGCAGTGGAAGAAAAGACAGAAAAGTAGAAAATAAATGAATACTAAGAGTATTTCAGGGAAGAAGAGGAAAAGGAAATATCCAGATAAGCACCTAAGGTTGCTCACACATAGAAACTCACTTAAACTTCAAAGCATTTTGAACTTGCTTGAAAACATTGCAGGCCAGCCCCAATTAAAATCCGTCCTGCATACCCCTAAACTTCATGTGAGAACCAATGAGAGTCAAGTTTATGCTACTCCCTTGTGACATATAGAAACCACTGGTGATGCCCAATGGTAACCACAAGTTGACTTTTCCCTTTTCCCTTTCTCCCCTACCAGGGAGCAATTCCAGTCAGAGTTCAAGCTTGTCCTTTTCCTTGGCATGTGTCACCACTGCATTTTGCCTCAGTTTCTTCATCAACAAAATCCTTTTTGGATGGAATTAAAATAGAGAACCAACTTGAGCTGGCTCAATAGTATCCTGACGCTAACC